TTACATACCTCTTGGACGTCGTCGCTTTGATCTTCGTGCGCCATGAGGCAGAGATTTGCAGCTTCGTCCTCCTCTTGGTCGGTTGATTCGTCTCCGGAATGGCCACCCCAAGAGATGTAGGCCCTTTGCTTCTTGAAGCCACGCTTATCCTTGCCGTTTTTGGCCTTTGGACACCTTGGCTTGATGTGTCCAATCTCGCCACAGCCGTAGCACTTGGGAGGACCGTCGTGCTTCCTTCCCTTCCGCTCAAATTCCTTCTTCATGAACTTGTGGAACTTCTTGATGACGAGCCCAAATTCATTGTCGTCATCGCTTAAAGCCTCTTCCACCGGTTCCTTGGTGGCTTTGAGAGCTATCCCCTTTTTCTTTTGTTCATCCAAAGACGGGGTTAGAATAGTAGATTCATAGGTTTTAAGGTTACCTCTTAGCCCGTCGATGGTGACGTTGGAGACTCCAATGGATTCATAGATTGCATCGGCTTTTGACCTCCATTCGGGTGTGAGGCTTCGCAGGATTTTTCTCACGAGATCCTTGTTGGTGTAAGTCTTTTTGAGAAAATGAAGGTCGTTGATGATCTTTGAAAAACGGTCGAACATGTCATCAATTTTCTCACCTTCTTTCATCCGGAACATTTCGTACTCTTGGGTGAGAAAATCGATCTTGGCTTCGCGAACTTGATCAGTACCTTCGTACGTCACTTCAAGCTTGTCCCACATCTCCTTGGCGGTTGTGCAACAGGAGATCTTTCGGTAGTCAACGAGGTTGACCGCGCAATATAGCATATTGATGGCCTTTGCATAGTTTTCAATCTTCTTGATGTCCTCGGCATCAAATTCGTTGAGGTTCGTTGAGGTTCTCTCAAAAAGACTTACACTACTACCTCGTTAAGCTTAACGGTGCTTAACAAACCCGTACAACTTGAGAATTCGAGTCACACGAACCTCAACGAACCTTCGAAGGAAACATCCCTTCCTTCGAACAACAAGAGAAATACCTTCTCTTGTCAAGTGTTTAAGAACACTAAAACACTCAAGAACAATACTCTCTTTTAGAGTTGATAATGAGTAAACTAAGAACGCTCAAGAACACAACACAAGCTTCACAAAAAATGGCTCTCAAAAGCTATGAATAATTGAAGAATGATTTGCAATGAAAGAGTAGGAGTTGTGAATTAATGTGATTGTGTAAAACAGACCCAAACACCCCATTTTATAGTAGAAAAATAGGCTCCAACGGACCAAAGTATTTAAGGGGTGATTGGCACAATTTGTGGGATTTGATGAAAATTGGATCTGTTGAAATTCACCTAGACAGCGCTGTCCTAGGCTTGGACATCGCTGTTCTAGGCTTGCGTTTTGAAAAATGGGAAGCAACGGTCATGCCAACAGCGATGTCTAAAATCCCTACATCGCTGTTTTGGCTGTTGACTTCCAAACAAGGAAAGTTTTAGCCTTAAATTCCTTCCAACGGTCAGGTCTCTACATCGATGTTTCATACTAGAACATCGCTGTTTAGGTCTGCCTTTGACGATGGAAGTTTGGCCTGACAGCGCTGTTTCTGGGTCAACATCATTGTCTAAAAACTTTCTGCCAATGCACAATATCTTTGGCTTAGGTTGGACAGCGCTGTAGAGAAGCCTACATCGCTGTTCCAGAAGTTTCTAGAAATCCAACCTTGGCTTCAACAGCGATGTCTAATGTCCAACATCGCTGTTGGAGGACTTAACGCCAAACCATGTTTTTAGGTACCCAAGCCAGACAGCACTGTTGGTTACCTCAACATCGCTGTTGGGCTGGTTTAGCCAGACCCATGGTTGGTTTAGTCACGCCGTTAGCCGATGTCAAAAATGTAAGTTCTCCAAAATAAAAACCAAGTATTGAAAATGTTTGTTTAATGCATTTTTCTAAGAAATCAAGTAAAACATTTTGAAAACCACGTCATTTAGTTGAAAACCACGGCTAGCCAAGTTTACGCCGTTTCGCATGGTTTTCACTAAACGACCAAAAACAAAAGGTGGTTTTTGAAGCGTTTTTGTTGGAGAACTATTTAAATATTCCCAGAAGCAAAAAACCATTCATAAAAAGTTGAAAACCGTTTGGTTGGTTGGGACGCCAAAAACCAATGCCGAAAACTGAGAGCCGAACGCCGATTTCTGAAAACCGAACGCCGGATGGCTTGGTTTTTGGTTTGGGCGAACTCCAAGTGTTTTCAGGCAAGTTTAAGACTTAAGAAAATCATTTTGAATATGCAAAAAAATATTTTGATGAAATGAGCCTAGAGAGCCATGTTTTGAATGTTTGTGCCGGTCTTGATCACATTAAAACCGACTCAATACAATTCTAAGTCTTCGTTCTTGATTCTTGGTTCTTGGTTCTCAGCTCATCATGCCATGTTCCTTCGCCTTAGTTTTGCTCAGTTTAACCTTGTTATTGTCACGGCGGTTTGGCATTATCAAAACCTGTCATAAAACGAACACGGCTTAGTACGACATAGGCGTAAACCCGTGTTCCAACATCACAAACAATGCTATAAAATTCAAAGGCCATTATATCCAGGTAGCAGTTCCAACATCAAGGCACAGCCCAAAACCACACTAGGAATACGCCCAAGCATAAGATACACAAAAGGAACCCAACCAGCAATGACAATAGGAATCATGCCACTGTCCATACGGCACCCACACGGATTATACAAAAATGAGGGAAAAATGATAGCATGGCCTCACTCAGGCAGTAACTGAGTTCATAGAGCAAGAACACCAGTATGAAGGCAAGAACACAGTTCATAATCGTCATGAACAGTAGGTCATTCCACAAATTTCAATCCCTCAAATAAATGTTGTTAAAACACCATAAACAACCTCTCAAATCCAACACAACAACAAAGTTAATAAAAAAAGCAAGCAAAAATTTGTTACAATTTTTGTACGGATTACAACGGACGGGGAAGATGAACGACCTCGAAAAATAAAATTAAATAAAATTCTGAATTTATAATTTATTCAGAATATTACAAAATAAACAAAGTTGGAAAATAAATTCTATATCTTCAATCAGCTTTGTTCTACGAGGACATTAAGCACTAGACAGCGAGGTCTTTAATCACTGGACAGCAATTCAAGGACGTTATGCACAGAGCTGCGAGGACATTATGCACTGGGGTGCGAGGACATTATGCACTAGGACAGAATACAACGAGGTCTTTATGAGCGAAACTTGACAACAAAACACCACGGAGGGACAGCGGAGTCGCCGGAGCTGTCCTTAAGGTAGTAGTGCCCGCCTACCATACCAGAAAAACGTGGGCACTCTCCTCCCAGGATAAAACCGCTATCGTGTGTGGAGATTGTACGGACCAACCAAACACCAACGAACAAAAACAACATAGGAACTTTGACGACCAAAAACTTTAAATGGGATGTCCGGAAAATTTGGCCAGAAAATCAAGAGCTCTCTCTAAAAATTAAACAAGAAAGTTTTTCCCTTTCTTTTTCTTTCTTTCTCACGTAAGACACTCAAGAAAAGAGAAGAGAGCCTTTGATTTTATAGCTAAGCTATTTTAAAAAGTGTAACCTATACACAATAAAAGCTTAGTAATAATCATAGCATTTGTGGCACACTAATGGTGTGTTAATGGTGATTAATTAGCCATTAACACGTCTGTTACGCTACGCTCCGTTTAAAATTTGTCCCGAATAATTGGAGATTAATGGCTAGTTAACTCCGTAAAAATGGACTAATTTTAAACAATACGTAAAATTAATAAAAGAAGATTGGTTCAGAAAAATTGCAAAATTGCAATCCTTACCATATTCTTTTAATAACGGGTTAACTCTGAGAATCAATTTTTCATTCACCCTCTACCATTTTTGGCGTATAAATTGTCAAAACATTTATCTCATTTAAGAGAACACACGTCCATTAATTAACGGTAAAAACCGTTAGTGGACCTATTGAAAAATATACCCAAGTTGGTCCATTTAATGCCTATTAAAAATGCCAAAAAATTCCAACAAAATTGACAAAATCGGATTCCAAATCCAGTACATACGAATCCCAAAAATCCTCAAATCATGAGGGAATTCAAATGAAATTGAAATCAAGCTTTAAAAGAAGGAGGGGTATCGCAAACCGGTCAACATATCGCAAGATTAGCCATCAAAAGTGTACGGATTCAATAGAATCAGAGAGATAAAACTTCGAGTGAACAGTACCTTCCATGGCGTGGGACTGACGGCGAAGGCTATGA